ACACCTCGAGCATGTCGCCGATCTGTTTGTTGAACACTTTGTTCATCATGCGTTGGTATGTCGCGCCGGCGTTCTTTAGTCCGAAGGGCATTACGTTGTAGTAATAGTTGCCCGAGCTGGTCATGAACGCCGTGCAGCGTTTGTCGCCCGGAGCCATTGGGATTTGATTGTATCCCGAGTAAGCGTCCATGAACGACAAAGTTTTGTAGCCGGCCGAGTTGTCGACCAGCATATCAATGTTTGGTAGAGGAAAAGCATCCTTCGGGCAAGCCCGATTGAGATCGGTATAATCAACACACATTCGCCATTTTCCATTATTCTTTTTAACAAGTACAACATTTGACAGCCAGGTGGAGTACCGGGCTTCAGAAATAAAATTTGCCTCTAGGAGGTCTTTTACAGCTTTTTCAGCAGCCTCCGTTTTTTCTGGAGACTGCCTACGCCTACGTTGTACTACTGCCTTGGCGGCTGGATCAATGGCGAGGTGATGACAGGCGACCTCAGGGTCGAGTCCGGGCATCTCTGCAGCGCTCCAGGCGAAGAGATCAGCATTCTCGCGCAGACAGGCCTTGATTTGCTTCCTGGCCAAGTCGGGGAGGTCCTTGCCAATCTTCACTCCCTTGGTCGGGTCTGCTCCGAGGGGAACGAGTTCGAAATCGCCGTCCGGAATAGGTCGGAGGGGGATTTGCTCGCTGCTGGCCGGCTCGTCTTGGTCAAAACGGGCGTCGAGCGCAATGGAGTCGACCTTTGGTGGAGCCTTCTGAACTTCTACCTCAGGAGATGCTCTGTCGGGCTCTTGCTTTGTCTTCTTGATGGGCCTAGTGCTGGGACCCACGTCGACAGTATCCCGACCCCTTGAGGCGGCGTTGAAGCACCTGCGGGCAGCAGCGAGGTCGCCCTGGATGGTGGCTACCCTTGCCCGTTTGGTGTAGAACTTCATTTTGAGATGGACAGTTGAGGGAACCGCTGTCAGCTCTGCCAATGTCGGCCTCCCCAAGATGCAATTGTACAGGGACGGGCAGTCAATGACGAGGAAGCGGACCTTCACCTGTCTTGTAGCAGTTCCTTCCCCGAACGTCACGAGGAGCTCGACATATCCCCAAGGTTTGGACGTCGAGCCGTTGAAGCCTTGAAGGTCCGAACCTATATATGGAGACAGATGTGAGTCGTCCAGTTGTAAGGTCCGGAACAGCTGAGTGTACATCACGTCGACGGAACTCCCTTCGTCGACCAGGATGCGATGCACGTCAAAATTGGCCATCTTTACCCTTATCAGCAAGGGGATGACTGCGTTCGGTGCTCCGCCGGGGAGCTCTTCCAAGTAGAAGGTGATAGGCTCTGATCTGCCCCTCACCATTTCAAAAGTCACAGTTTGAGGAGGAGCTTTGTCGACCAGTTCGTCCAACTTCCTCTTGGCTGAGTTGATGGTGAGGTCGTTGAACCCGCCCCCGTTGATGACCATGGCGGAGGGGAAGTATTCCCACCTGCTGTGTGTCGTCAGGGGCTCCTGCAGGAGCTCGGGAAGTTCGAAGTCCTCGGGCCTGGTTACCGAGAAGGCGGTCTGGATTGGCACCGACTCGTCGGATGGTCGGGCGTCTTCTTCGGGCTCCTTTGCCTCGCGGGCTTCACGACGGGGAGCGTCGTTTCGCCTGTACTGTGCAAGTCTCCCTCCTTTGATGAGGGTTTCAATAGCATCCTTCAGGTGGACGCAGTCCTCTGTCAAGTGACCATGACTCCTATGGTACTGACAGTACTTGTTTTTGTCTACTCCTGGCTTGGCAGGAGCTGGTCGGGGACGCTTGACACCACCGTCTTTAAAATCTGTGCTTGCACACTCCGCCAGAATACGCTCGCGGGAAGCCGTGAGCGGAGTGTACTCAGTAAACCTGCCCGAGGGGCCCCTTTGTTCCCGGACCTCCCGGGGTCTGTCTTCCTTCCTCTTCTCTCCGGTGCGTCGGGGAGGAGGGTCTTGTCTCGAGCTGCTGCCATGATTGCGAGCCCTGGAGTCTCGTGCCCTGTTGGCAGCTTCTCTCTCCTCGTAGTCCATGTATGCTCGGGCTTTGTCGAGGAGAGCATCAAAAGTTGCAGGTGGCTCAATGCCCACAGCTTTCCTGAATTCTGTGCCGGGGAGGAGGCCCCTCTCCAGCAAGTACCTCTTCATGTGGTCCGCGCAGGGGACCTGGATTGCTTCCCGGTTGAAGCGGTTGATGAATTCCCTCAAGGTCTCATCATGTCTTTGGATGATGGCCTCGAGGGCTGCCTCGGTCTTCGGGTGGCGACGAGATGCCGTGAAGGAACTGATGAACTGATTCTTCAAGTTCCGCCACGAGGTGATGGAGCCCGGGGCAAGTCCTTTGTACCAATCCATGGCCGCCTTCCTGAGAGTTGTTGGGAAGAGACGGCACTTGATTGGCCCCCCGACATTGTGATAATGGAGCATGGCTTCGAACCCGTCAATATGGTCGACTGGGTCCGCCACTCCATCATACTCCTTTAGGTGTGGGGGCTTCTCCATTCCCGGGGGGATGGGTGCGTCCATGATGGCCTGCGACAGGGGACCGCGGGGGTCGTCCTCGTCGCTCCTTTCTGGAGAAAGAGAAGGGGTCCTGTAGTGATGTCTGGCACGCTGGTCGTGCTGAGATTCCCTCGAGCGTGATGCTCGGTGGGTGAAGGTCACACGCCCGTCTCTGTTGTGTCTCCTGTCGTGCCTCGATGGGTCGCGACTGGGTTCTTCGGCAGGGATGACGGGCTGTCTTTCATACTGGGGCCGCCTCTGCCTTGGTGGGGGAGAGGGGCTCCTAGAGTTCTCCCTGTAATGTCTCCGCGGGGGAGTAGGGTGTCGAACTTCTTTGACCCGAGGAGGTGGAGATGGTGGCCTTTGATGTCTCCTCGGGGGGCGTCGATCATTTTCAAGTGCCCTTAGCCTTTCTCCTTGGGCGAACAGGAGATAGTTCGTCTGGTTGATGGCCGCGAACAGTGCCTGAGTCGTGGCATCTGCCCCGGCAGGGACTTGGACTTCATGGAACCGGGCAGCTTGGCGATAGGCGAGAGCCTCCGGGTCATCTTCGAGTCTTGGAGGAGGTTTCGAGGACGACGCAGTGTTCCCGTCCCTGCGAGTGGAAGGTCCAGGGGCGGTTGTCACGGGGATGGTATTGTGGCCGGCATCACTGGGATTGTCCAGATGCCCATTCTTGTCCGCGGGACCGTTGTTGGTGTCGAGGACGCGGGTGTGTTGTTCTTCACGAGTTGGGGTAGCCATGACAGTGAATGGATTGAGCTTTGGTCTTTGAAACTGTTCGTTAGACGGGGAAGTTGTTTCCCATAGACGGCGCCACTGATCTGACCTGATCAGAAGGTTTGGACCGTCACGGCTTACTCCGAGCTGAAGGCTTTTTGAACGAGGAGGGGGGGGTACCTGCAAGGCACTCCGATGCTAAAGTCAGTGGGAGTACGAGCAGATAATAGAGTTGAGGTTAGAATGATGAATACCTGACCCTCTGGAAGCAGAGGGTATTTATAGCCCCCAGCGCTGGGCCAAGGTTCCTTCATTGGGCTGGGCGGATTTGGCCCAATGGAGGAACTGCCAGGTTCTACGTGGGTAGTGGGGACCAGCACGTGGTCCCCCTCCTGGATATGCTGATGAAATGCGGGCGGACGGAGACGCGGTCTTTCCGGAGTTTCGTTGGGGCAATGGAAGACTAAGTCTGCCCTAGCAAGTTAGCTCGAGACCATGTCGAGCTGCGCAGCACGGTGCCGAGCTCGACGCCAAGACCTCGAGCTGGACGGCGGGTGTCGAGCTGGAAGCCAGGACATAGAGCTGGACAGCATGCTGTCGAGCGGGACTTCATCGTGGGGCTAGACACCGAGATGTCGAGGTGGACATCAGGGTGTCGGGCATGGACGTGACCCCCTTTGCCCAGTGTGGTCCTTAGTGAGTCCCTTTAGACTGGGCCTTAGTAATGCTTTTGGGCCTGTCGGGCCCAGTCCAGAACATTAACTATGTCGGTGAACCTAGTTTACATGGTAGTAATGATTTCTCCTTGTTTCATGGTTTCATGTGAACATGAAAGAGTTCATATTCTTGAGTTAAAGTGCTTATCTTCAAATCGTCTATTCATTAATACTCAAGGTGAATATTAAAATAATTCTCGCTTTCAAGTCATATCGAACCTTCAATTTTCTCATTGCCCTAGACATTGCAAAACAACAACTTAGAAATTAATTCATCAATGAATTAGTTAAAGCTTATTTCAATTCGGACAAGTAAATCCAAATTTAATTTCTTTTTTGATATTCATGTAAAAGTTAAACATATCTTTAATATCTTCCGTTATTAATAGTGTTGAAATGGAAGAAAAAATGTTATAACAAAATGTTATACCATATCATTAGTATCAATATTTCAACTTACACAAATTGCTTAAAGTGACAACTTGATAAGGATATGGTTCAAAGAGTTTGAGTCGATCCAAATTATAGTTTATCCATTAAGAATGTCTTCACGTGTTATTTTCAATTTGACTTCTTCAGAAGCCGTGTCAAAGATGCAATTTCAGGAGATAATCGTGCAAAAGCAATATTGACTAGTGGAGGTTCAAAAAAGAGAATAACTTACATACATGCATCTTACATTTAAATAAGCACTGTGTTTTCAAGAGTACTGATACAATACATTAGAGGAATATAGAAAGATGTCTTTTTTATCTCTCTACAACTTTGTACCCTTAATCTCAAACCTAACTTAACTCTAAACCACATATTAACATTGAAATTACAAGCCACCAAAAAGACAAAAATGAGCAAAAGTGAAGATCTATTTGCTTTACCCTTTCAGCTTTTGCTCCCACCTTGTTTAGTACATTAATTAACAGACCAGCTTTTTCCTACCTGTGCAGAAAATCAACCAAAATGCTCCAAACCTCTAAAACTTGTGGGCAAAATACTTTATGATACAAAATCTACATCCTTCTGTTAGCAACTTTACATCTTCTCACATGATATTAACTTGCATCCAAACTCATAGGAAGGCCATCCTTTGAAGGGAATCCGAGCGAATCACTTAACTGAAATTCACTTGGCTTAACTGCCTGAATATTGCTATAGTAGGAGGGGAAACTCTCTTGTATGACCTAAATCAAAGTTATATATGAACACAGTTAGCATATTATGATAAGTAGAAAAGCACTAGGAAACATCAACACAGACAGGCACCAAATACAACACTAACACGTTATAATTTTAAAAAATAGAGGTGATTTTGACTCTAGTGTCAGGGTTGTATCAGACACCTGGCATGGCTTCGATCGAAAGTGTTGGTGCTGCATAAAAAAAGGAAGAAAGAAGAAAACAGTTTATCTGGCAACAAATCCAACAGAAAAAATAAAGTGCAACCAGAATACCAGTTCCAAATATCACAAGAGAAGAACAATGTTTTCCAATCACTTATCAGTGCAATAATAATATACAATGTTACCTGATCAACGGCTTCAGAACCATCAGGGTGGAAAACAATAGGTCGGCAGCGCTTATCTTCATTCATCAAACTAGAGTTTTGAAAATGGTTCACAAGAGCATTCTTCCCTTGGATTCGAGCATATGCCAAAGAAGCAACTTTTTCACTATTGAACTTCTCCCACTTCTTCCCATTGAATGACTGCAAAACAGGACATATCAGTGAATCTGTCATTTAGGCAAATATTAGCCTTTTCTAGTCATCATCTCCTTAATGAATGCCATGACATCATCTACCAAGTTAACTTTAATTAGATAATGAAAAGGGAAGAATGACCAAATCAATGTCATTTTTATTCAGCAAAATAACCAAAATATATGCAAAAAACAGTGCTAAGCCAAAAATATTCCCATACAAACCTCGTAGAATGGAATAATGAGTGAAGGTGACAGCATGTTGATAAATGCATAACCCACATTGCATTTATTCTGTGATTGAAGGTGGATAAAAATATCAGCTTCACAAATTATAAGAGCTCAGGGATCAAACAGCAACTTAACGGGAAAAATAAACAGCTCATTAAATTAAAATAGCACAGCATATACCTTAAAGTCAATTGGCAGGTAGAGAAAATCATAGGTGCCCTTCTGAGTTTCATCAATGGCAGCTAACAACATTTTCGAGGTGTATCTGCAGGCAAATGAAGAATTAATACATCATATAGGCATCCAGTGAAAAAAGCAAAGTTAATAAAATTAAAAAAGCATCACTATGAGTTAAATTGTTCATACTTATTTGGGATATTCTTTATCATCAATGTAGTCCTTGTATCTTCACCACATCTGATCTTATCCAAGTCGAGCTGAAATAGCTTCTTGCTGTCAACTTGGCTTCCATTGTTATCGATCCATCTACTGCTAACATGGTCGGTAAAACTCTCCATAGCAGTAGGTAGCAATCCTGGATAAGGACCATTACCCAAAAATACAGGGCTGAGTATAGGAGATCTCATTCTGAAGTTTGATGAACCATTATCAGGCATATTTCGTGGAATCGAAACACCAGCATTAAGCGTGTGCCCTAGACTCATGCCACTATAGCCAACATTATTCATCAATGAAGTTTCAGATGACTTGGGGAAAAAACCAAAGTGCCTCTGAAAAGGCAAACGTGACGGAGCAGAACCAACATGATGATGGTGATGTTGTTGGGACAAATTGACAAAGGAATTGCTGCGACTTGAGTATGGGAAAGCGTGACTTGTTCCATTTGATGTACTGAGTTGATGTCCCACTGATGGTTTAGGCCAAGCTGAAGGTTTGGTTTGCGGTGAAGATAAGTTTGGACTTCCCCATAGAAACTGTGGAGCGGTCAAGGTTTCCACTGAAGACCCATTTGATGTTGATGTACCAAACGAGGACAAAGTCCCGCGATATTGACTAAATTTTGGCTCTGGAAGTGAATGTGAGTTGAAAGTAGATCCAGAGGATGAACTCGTATTGGTAAATATGTGGTCTCCATGACTACTCCTTCCTATGTCCTTGCCAATAGTTGCGGCCTTAACTGTGTCCGACGTCTGTGGTTGCAAAATTGAAGCTAGCCCAGATAAATGCCCGCCGGTTGTAGGGCTCATGATACTAGAACTGGGAGAATGATTAATAGTTGGCAATGAACTCTGCTCGACAGGGCTGTTGAACTGTAACCAATTACCTGCTATGAAGTTTCTTAAAATTAATTTCAATTCCATCAAAGAGAAAACAAATGCAATAATATGAACTCGGTAACTAAAATATATACTATGCCAACGGCACAGAATATTTAGTATCTCAAAGAACCAACCTGGCGGAGAGCTGGCTAGAGGTGAACCCACTTGATATCTAAAACTTCGAGACTCGTCTTGGTCAAGCTCTTGATTAAGTTGGAGCATCAAACTAAAAGGTGTAACATATTACCAATTAAATGTTAAATGCATCAGTTTTGGATCCCAGAAAATAAAGGTGGAAGATATATGGAAGTAACACAAGCTAGTGATGATAACTTCCTACTCTTTAATTTGATCGAGTTTCTCTATTATTATACAGCATATTGATTTTATTAACACATTTGGTAAAACTCAGTTTCCAGGAATGCAAGACCGATAACAAAAAATTTCAAATATTTTTAAGAATAGGTCAAAGATGCCTCATCAAATGTTTCTTTAAGTACACACAATGCACAAAAATCAGCCAGCAAAATACATTATTATTATTTTGTTATTATTACTGCAAACGTAAAGAGCAATCAAACACCAAAGCAAAAGTAAAATTATTAGTTCACATACTTGCGACGAGCTCCTCCAGGCCGACTTGGTTCAAGCTTTATGCGTTTACCAGCTATATCACTCCTATTTAATAATTTAAGTGCTGCTTCTGCAGCTCTGACATCATAAAATTCAATAAACTTATGATGTCTCTTGTGAGGAGTTTCCCTTATCTGCAGAGATATCCAACTATTCATCTTAATTCCAAGCTTAAACAATAAAATACATACTGTCTGTGTTTCCCTGAGAGACTCGAATGCAAAACAGTTCTTAAAAAGGATAAAATTATCACCTCTTTGACTTCTCCGTAAGCCCCAAATATTTGGCGAAGGTCTTCATTTGAAACCGATGGATCCAAATTGAAAGCTACCAAGGTTCCTTGATTGATATCCTTGTCTGATGGATTATCCTGCAAATTCAAAGGGGAAAAAACAGGCAAGATAATATGAATGTCAGGGCTTTCAGCTACTAAAAGAATAAATGACGAGAATTGTTTTTAGGTAAGAAACCTTTGGTATTGAAAAGTGAATGTCGAGTTTCCTACGCCGCAATGGTTTGTTTTGCAATGCACGCATAGCTGTTCGAGCAGCACGGATGTCATAATACGATATCATCACAAATCCCCTGTGTTTACATGCAGTATATAGGGTTCTAATATCACCATATTGCTGAAAATTAAAAAAAAAATAGTACAGAACAATTAATAATTAATTATTTTCACATGAATTTCTTCTCAACGAAGATATACTATTCAATCAGAGGCAACATGAAATTATGGCCACCATACATAGCTTGTACAAGTATCGTGAAGATGTCAAAGCAAAACTTATAATGGCGTCTAGATTGAGCTCACCCTAACTTAAACTCACCTCAAAAAGAGTTCGCAGCTCAGTATCCTCCACATTACTGTTAATATTTCGAACAAACAATGTTCGAGAAGGATGCTCTCCATATGGATGTTCTCCAGCAACGGCTCCACTTCCGACCCCATTAGGAAGAGAATAAGGGGGAAAACCATTGCTGGAAGAGCTATCAGAGAAGCTTAACTTAGATACTCCCACACTTAGACTTTCCTGTGTATCAGTTTCAAGTTCCAAACCTCCACCACTACCAAAAATATCATATTCTTCCAAGTCCTCAAGGGAACCAGGTAAACCACTAAGGTCAAAGTCATCCAATATGCCAGCCAAAAGCTCATCATCATCATCAGGAAGCATGGCTCCAGTTGCATTATTATTACCATCCTCAAGGGACCCATTGAGCTCTACCTCTTGATGAAGCTTTTTAAAACCAGTTGATATGTCATCTATAGTTTGAAAACCGTTTTCAGTTTCATTTATGTTCACTACAATCAAGTAAGAAAAACAGGTTCATGAGATTTCATAAAACATGGAGTATACAAAGAATAGAGCTGGTAGGAAAAAAGTATCACATACATTTTTCATGTGGAAGAACAGGTAATGAACTAGAAAAGAGGCTGGCATCAGAAGAAGCACGGTATGCATCAGATCCAGATAAAACTTCCAACGCACCATGTTCTGATTTTCCAGGTGCATTAATAGGTGGAATCTTGGAAGGACCTGTTTTGTAACAAAATATTATATTTGATTATACATGATAAGTACATATAATAATAAGTTGATAACCAAGACAAAAAAAACAAGAGAATTTGGAGATTTACCAAAAGATGAAGGATTAAAAGACTGCTTCATTGCATCACCTCTCTGCCACAATCAAAATAAAAGAAAAAAGTTATTAAGTATTATATTATAGACAGATAAACCTTAAATCCTTGCAAAAGATACATGTCAACCATCCTAAAACATGGAAAACTGCAATTAAGCCCGAATCAAGAATAATATCATCTGAACATAATAGACATAAGTTTATGCATGTACGTCCGGCTTAACTCTGGACTAACATCATAACACAAGTTAGAATATCCAATGACCAATGACCAATCACTCAACATTCTCAGTTTCCTAATACATAAGCTTTTGAGCTTTTGCAGCACATTGTTATTTGGATATAGAACTCAATCATGATTACATTCAATCATTTGGTTGTCATTAATAAAGACAGGGTTCTGATTAAACATGAAATCCATGGGCCACCAAAAAACATCAGAAAAAACAAAACAAGGCAAGATTCAGGCAGGACAGACAGTCCTGCCTGAAGCAGTGAAGAGAACTATGTGATAATCAATTCGAACTAGACTAGAGCAAAACCTCATGCAAAAATCAGTTCTTCACAAAGGGTTAGTTAACACTTCCATTAACAGAATCAATAGTAGAAAGCCCCCAAACCAAAAGAAAACACACCATGTCTCTATAGATTCAAGTCATCCAAGTTATATCACCATAAAATGAAGTTCCATTTGCCCATATACATGATCTCCAGTAAGAAAAAATACAACTTTTCCACAATTTACACGGCAACCAAACAAGATGCTACTTCAATATAATCCATGCATGAAAGTGACATCAGCAAAAAGAAATCAAATTCAAATACCCCCGTTAGTCATAAATAAAACCCAAAAACATTAACGCTACCATTGAACAAAGCAAGTGATAATAACTTAGAAAAAAAAACACATTTTCACATAATCAAAACAGCACAAAAACTCCAACCCTAAATCACAAACTCAAACACTATGTCAAACTTCAGAGCAACCCAACCATGACTGAAATCCCTAACCAATCACCATAACCGCTATACTCAAAGCTAAACCAAATTCAACTAAAAAAACTGGGACGATCATCGATTAGATCAAACAACCGAAACAAACTGCTGAAAAGACTAAAAATTTGCAGTGAAATTTCAAAAAACCAAAGAAAAATGATGAAATACCTGAAAGGGGGTTTAGAAACCCTAAAAGAGGGGTTTCCGATAAGAGAGAAAAAGTTGGTCGTTTGGCACGGAAAACGGAATGGGTATAGAAGAAAAAAGGGAGAAAAAGTGTAATTGTTGTTGTTATTAAAAGGAGAAAAGAGTGAAGAAGAGTGTGAAGAGAGAAGAAAATGGGGAATCTTTTGGAGAAAGGGAGAGAAACAGAGCAATAGCGTGGCGATGATTGGTTGTGACCCCAGAAGAATGATTGAGAAAGAGGGTTTCTTCAATGGTTTTGGATTTTTAGAATCACGGGATTTAACTCTATTTAAATCTTTTTTGGGGTCCAAAATATACTTTGTGTTTTTATTTATTAAATTAAACAAATCTTCTCAAAACATTATGTAATGTAAGATAAATGCAACTATTGGTTTCTCTTTTTGACTCAAAACTACTGCTTCTACCCGTGCGATGCACGGACAAATTGTTGTTAGATATTATATGTTTATAATAAAAATATGAATGTTTAAAATTTGAACAAACTTACACAATATACAAATGTTGAAAAGGAATTAAATTAGTAATTTGAACAAATTTATACAATATATAATGTGCATCAAAACCTTTCGAATTTGTAGTTGGCACTCTCCATCAATACTAAAAATAAAGTAAACACCACATAAATTAATAGAGTTCGTATATTTATATATTGAGATATAAAAGTATTGAAGTAAAAAATCTCTAAGCATCTTAATATCACTCGATAGCATAATCAACCAATGGACTAAACCTGCAAAAAAAATTAACTCTATAAAATAATTCGTTAAATAAAAAATAAAACCAACTTTGATAATAATTTAGCATATAATAGATAACGTACGTTATTCATATTTTGGAAGACCTCCTTGTAAACAACGTTTGAAGTCTTATTAGTGACATCACCATCATCGTCAGTGATAAGAAGTTTTAAACCAGCTCGTGAAGTAACTCTAGAAATTGCAACATATAACTGACAGTGGGTAAAAACAGATTGTGGAAGGTAGATCCCAACATGTTTAAGACATTGATCTTGACTCTTATTTATTGTCATTGCAAAAGAAACAGATATAGGAAATTGTTTGCGCTGAAATCTAAATGGAATTCTCATGTCAGAAGGAGTCAAAGACAAACTCGGAATAAACACTTTTTGGCCAATATTATTTCCAGAAATGACCTTCGCCTCAAGCACAAAATTTCTCAATTGAGTAATAATGAGACGCGTACCATTACATAATCCTGATGATTGGTCAATATTTCTGAGCAACATAACAGGCACACCAACTTTTAATTTCAATTCATGATTTGGTAGACCTGAAGCTTTGATGGTATTCAATAATTCAGGAGTAAGGATATTATATGGACCATCAAGAATTTCACTTTGTTCACATGGTATATCAAAACTCAAATATGTTTTAACTTCACCAGGAATCAAAGATAACATGTAATCATTTATGAGTTCAACAACTTCATTTTTTTGGTGTCAAAATAGCCCTATCTTGAAAATATGATGGATCATGAAAATTCTCAGAGAAAGATGGATAAGTATCACCAACTATAGAAGCAATGGGTTCTCCTGAATTTTTAATTATCATATCATCTGGAATTTCAATGTTTAAGTATCAATCATTATCCTCACCAATTTTTCCTTCTCCAATACTCAACAACCAATCAGAAAATTGCTTCATTTGATTTACATCAGATCCTGAAGATCAAGTTTGAAGCCTCATGTTCTTGGTTAATGTCATTACTTGACAAAAATCCCATAGATAAGATGAATTAATGATGGCATGCACAATATCTTCTCTTGTTCCCTTCGGTATAACAGGAAGCATTTGTCTAAAATCACCATCCAAAACAACTATTTTACCTCCAAATGGAATATCCTTACTATTAGGATTAGAGGATTTAAGAATATCTCTAAAAGTTCTATCAACAGCTTGAAAGCAATATTTGTGCATCATTGGAGCCTCATCCCATATAATAAGTCTAGCCTTTATTATCAACTGAGCTAAAGGACTTTTTGGTGCAATGTTGCAAGTAGAAAATTCATCAATATTTAATGGAATAGCAAACCTTGAATGTGCAGTTCGACCACCTGGTATTAGCAGCACTGTTATTCCACTTGAAGCAACTGTGAGCACAATTTCACCTCTTGATCTTATAGCTGCAAATATAGCTCTCCAAATGTAAGTTTTTCCGGCTCCCCCATATCCATAGACAAAGAAAATTACACCTTTATCTCGAGCAACTGATTGCATTATATTGTTATATATCCCTCTTTGCTCTGAAGTCATCGATGACACCAACTTTTCATGTTTGATAGCCAAAGCTTGTCTATCATAATTAAGTTCATCTTGTATGAGTCTGTTCTGACCATTAGATAACAATGACATATCTGGTTGTGGCATGGCAGAAAAGTCTTTCAAAGTTGTGTTATTGCTTTGTAGTAATTTCTCTATCTCGGCAATAGTAAAATTTTGTAACTCCTCATCAGTCAAAACCAAATCTGAATTAACACAATTATATTTAATATTAGAATAATACAGTATTATATTATGGTATAAACTTTGAGTAAGGAAAATGATCTACCAATTTAAAATGTTGGCAATTTGATACTGCCACTTTCGTATCAAGCAATACTTTAAATGGCTTTAAACACGAAAAGAAGCAATCAAAAACAGTAATGAAAATTAGAGTCACGAAAATGTGTATAAGCTGTTATAAATAATTATCAAAACATATATCTCACTTATTTCATAGTTATAGAAATGGTAGCTTAGATATTTGTAGAAGAAACTAATATATCTTTTCTAGATAATTTATAAGTAATTAATTCCCATATATATTCCATTAAGTAAGAACAATTATTATATTAGGAATGTCTTGGTGTCTAGAATAAAAACAATGATGATATAGTGAACAAAAAAGACTTCTTTCAAAACACTATTTTAAAAATAAATATTTAATCATATTGTAATATCATCATACCTTCAATTTGGAGTTCTAATCTTTGCCGGTACAAAATGTCATCACTTAGATATTGCCAAGTTTTGCTCCAAATTAATTCTGGTTTGTTAAGTTGGTCCAGAACCAATAAGGTTACAAAAAGCTTCCTTAAATAATAAGATGTCCCCCAATTGCTTGCTTCTATGATGGCATCAATGAATTCTTTTTCATCGCGCAACAATCCCAAAGCATAGCAAGCATCTTTAAATGAGTCATAAACAACATTGTTTACTGTTCTAATATCTTTAAATGATTTTTCTCCTCTGATATATTAAGCAATGTTCTCGTGTAATATAGTTGACCACTTCCTGGATGAATAAATTGTAATCTTCCAATTGCAAATCCTTTTTTCCTCTTTGTCCACTCACGACTACGTTTATTCCAAACAAACATTGAAGGAAATTCACCATATGTAAGGCCCCTTGCTTCAAGATATTTTCTATTTGCATCCATCCAACCCAAGAATTTTGTCACGTGGGAGTTTGGGTTGTTGATTACATCTTGCAATGGAACATCATCCTTAAAAACCAAATATTGTTCATTTGGCAAGTGAAAAGTCAAACGCTCAACAACAGGTTCTCTATGATTGATATTAAAGGAAAATAATCTCCAAGCTACTTCACATGAGGATAAATATCTGCAATCATAATACAACTTTATCTCATCTACACATTCTTTCTCTCCTTGGCCAGCACTTTGATAAAATGTTGTTGTAACACGATCCTGACCTTTATTGACATATTTGAAGAGATATTTTATAGAACGAGATTGGTTACACCACTCAACATTTATATGAGCATTATATCTCAATAACAAATATTTGTTATAAGGTACAACA